CTCGATGCCAAAGGTGGGCGTTCCATGCCTTGCCGATCGGACAGAAGAGGGGTATCCAGCGTTGCCCTGCAGGGCCTGTCTTCCCCGCGCGCTCGTCGAGACCCACGCAGGAGGAGACGTCGAACAGCAGCGGAGTCGCAGTAGCGCGTCGGAAACTGGCCAATAAATTTAAGAAGCGCTCGTTGAAGCCCTGCGACGAGGTCGGCCTGGAATCGCCACCCAAACCTCCGCGAGTAAATTAGGTCCGGTGCTCTTCATCGAGTAGAATCAGCCATATCTCGGAAAGAGTGGACCATCCGGGAGTTGCCCGTCTCTTGGGGGATCGACGGAGCTGAGTAATGATGCCGAGGAGGTCGTCGCGCGCCTGACCGATGTCTGCGAACTGCATCGCGTCGCACCTCTGCTGGTGGGTCCTGTGCGTCTCGTCGCCCTCGTGCAGCTGGTCGAAAAGCGTGAAGCCATCTCCTGGTTCAGGTCGCACTCGTGAGCTCCCGAGCCGCCTTCCGTCGCTGGTCTCATCAAATGTTCCATGATCTCGGTCGCATCGCAGTTTTCCCCCCGTGCCACGAAAGTTCTTCTGTTGCGAAGGCCTCGGCCCTTTCAGGCCGGTCGCCTCACCAAGCGTTGAACAGTGGCGTGATCATGTCGGGCCCAGGCATCGTTCAGCTCAGCCGAGATGGAGGCATTGCGTTCCTTGGTCAGCTCTCGTGAAACTTTCCGAATCCGATAGGTGGCGCGCGCCAGGTTAAGTTCGATGGCCTCTCGCTCGGGGTGGTCAGCTCCCCCGCGCAGAAAGTCTGCCATGGCCACTGTGTCCCTGATCTCGCGACGGTTATCCAGAAGACGGGAACGCTCGGCCTCCAGACAAGATTTCTGCTTCTCCAAATCGGTCGGTTTTTCAAATTCCTGCTAAGCGGCCTGGGTAATCTACGATGTCACCGCGTTCCACAATTCGTCCGTTGTCGGACGACTGCATGGTCGGATCCAATTTTCTTCTTCGATTTCCAAGATAGATTGGTGCATGGCTTCCGCTACGTTCTGACAGAACTCCTCGCCACGAAGCATGCCCATGATGTGGTCGTAGTCCCACGTGTGCCGTCGGTGAGCAGTAGGTGTAGAAGAAATCCAGATAGAGGCGTCTGAGGCCGCGAGTGTCCAGAGTGTTGATGGCCTGCAGCCTGTGGCCGGCTCCTGGGAGCATCTTGCAGTTGAGGATGTGTGGAAGCAGACCTTGGGGCACATGGATAAAATCGATACGTGATGGTTGCCTGCTCCAAAATAAGTGTCGCCTGCGGCGTAAAAAGGTAATAACTGCTGTCATGCGCAAATCTCTGAGACATTGGCGCCAAGGTTTCCCCGCGAGCCCCTCCTCCTCCGCGGCGATCGTGCCGACGGCCAGGTCGGTCTCCTCCGTGTTCGGGTCGAAACCAATCGTGAGCTCGCCCTCGTAGATGTCATCGTCCGAAAAGCCGAGTTTGTCGTTGAGGTCCGTGCCGATGATGGGAGCGCATCTTGTCCCGGCGCCTTCCACCAGTGAACGGGTCCATGCGATCATGGCCTGCACCGTGGTCTTGTAGCTCGCCCTCGAGGAGCGGCATGACGATTGTACCGGGAAGTAGAATGCGATGATGAGGAGGTCCGATGTGCTCGATTTCAGTCGCACTGCCCCGCACCGTCCAGCGAGACGAGCTGGAGGGGTATAGATACATCGAAGGAAATTGCGAGGTAGTCGCTTATGATGTAGAAGGGTTATCACGCCACTGCTCTTATTGGAGGCTCGGGTCCAGCCAAAGGAAAACTCCCAGTGGGACTGGTGCAGGAGAAGGCTGTGGTTCGACTCAGACGATTGTCGTCGTCCCGTCCCTTGAAGTAGTACCACGCTCATGTTTGCGAATTCGTCCGAGATCTCGCGAGCCCTCGTCGGCCCTGTCGAGAACATCGGGTTGCAGGTGCACATGCGGAAGCGCTGAGGTGGAGGAGAGGGCGGGTCGCCTGTCGCCATCGTGTAGAAGGTGTCGAGCGCTAGGGTGGTCACGGCGAGGAGCCACCGTCCTGGCGGCCGTCGCGGCCCAGCCCCTCCTCTCGTCATGGGCGGAGGGAGCCCCAGAAGCGAGAGACAAACATTCCGCTGCGAACTGTATGGTGTGCCCCTGACGTATACAGTAGCCGCGTATGAGCGTGGTGGTTTTGACCACTGAAGCGGCTGGAAGAAGAGGAGGAGGAGGACGAGGAGGAAGATGCTGACGCAACGGCCATCCAGCCAATGTCGGTCTCACGCAAAGAGAAGCAGGGGAGGGAGGAGGAGGAGGAGGAGGAGGAGCAGGAGGAGAATGAGGAGGAGGACAAGGAGGAGGCGGAGGCGGAGGAAGAGGAGGAGGATATGAAGAAGAGTAGGGGATTGGAAGAACGCGGGAAGGAGGGAGGGAGAAGGAGGGAGCGGGACGAAGAGGAGTAGGAGGAGAAGGAGGAGGAGGAAGCTGACGCAACGGCCATCCAGTCAATGTCGGTCTCACGTGAATAGAGGCAGGAGAGGGAGAATGAGGAGGAAGAGGAGGAGGAGGAAGAGGAGGAGGAGGAGGAGGAGGAGGAGGAGGAGGAAGAGGGAGGAGGAGGAGGAGGAGGAGGAGGGGAGGAGGAGGAAGGAGGAGGAGGAGGAGGTGGAGGAAGGAAGAAGAGATGAGGAAGAGGAGGAGGAGAAGGGCGGGAAGGAGGATGGAGAAGGAGAGGGCGGGAATACTAGGAGGAAGAAGAGGAGGAGTAGGAGGAGGAGGAGGAGGAAGAGAAGGAGGAGGAGGATGAGGAAGAGGGGAGGAGGAGAAGAAGGATGAGGAGGAGGAGAAGGAGGAGGAAAAAGCTGACGCAACGGCCATCCAGCCAATTCCTCACGTAAAAAGAGGCAGGGAACGGAGGAGGAGGAGGAGGAGCAGCAGGAGGAAGAGGTGGAGGAGGATGAGGAGGAGGAGGCGGAGGATGAGGACGACGAGGAGGAGGAAGAGGAGGAGGAGAAGGAGGAGGAGGAGGAGGAGCAGGAAGAGGATGAAACGATTTGGAGATGGGGAGAGGGCGGGAAGGAGGGAGGGATGATGAGAGAGCGGGGAGAAAATGAGGATGAGGAGGAGAAGGCTTATGATGAGCAACTTGACGCAACGGCCATCCAACCAATGTCGTTCTCACGTGAAAAGATGCAGGGGAAGGAGGAGGAGGAGGCGGAGGAGGAGGAGGAGGAGGAGGAGGAGGCGGAGGATAAGGAGGAAGAGAAGGAGGAGGAGGAGGAGGAGGCGGAAGGGAAGGAGGAGAAGGAGGGAGGAGAAGGTGGAGGAGGAGGACGACGAGGGGGAGGAGGAGGAGGAGGAAGAGGAGGAGGCGGAGGAGGAGGAGGAGGAGGAGAGTAGGAGATTGGAAGAGAGTGGGAAGGAGGGCGGGAGAAGGAGAGCGCGGGAAGACGAGGAGGCGAGGAAGCTGAAGCAACGGCCATCCAGCCGATGTCGGTCTCACGTAAAACCAGGCGTGGGAGGGAGGAGGAGGAGGAGAAGGAGGAGGAGGAGAGGAGGAGGAGGAGGAAGAGAGGAGGAGGAGGAGGAGGAGGAGGAGGAGAAGGAGGAGGAGAGACGGCTATGGGAAGTGGGCGGGAAGGAGGGAGCGGGAAAAAGACGAGAAGGAGGAGCAGGAGGAAGCTGACGCAACGGCAATCCCGCCATCGGTCTCACGAGAAAAAAAAGGCAGGGGAGGGATGAGGAGGAGGGCGAGGAGGAGGAGGAGGACGACGAGAAGGAGGAAGGGAGGAGGAGAAGAGGAGGAGGCGGAAGAGGAGGAGGAGAGTAGGATTTCGCAGAGGGGCGGGAATGAGGGAGGGACATGACAGAGCGGGAAGTAAGAGGAAATGAGGAGGAAGAGGAGGAGGAGGAGGGGAGGAGGAGGAGGAGGAGGAGGAGGATAACTTTGTCGTAACGGCCATCCAGCCAGTGCCGGCCTCACGAAAAAAGAGGCAGGGGAGGGAACAGGAGGAGGAGGAGGAGGAAGAGGAGGCGGAGGAGGGAGGAGGATGAGGAGAAGGAGGAGGACGACGAAGAGTAGGAGGAGGAGCAGGAGGAGGAGGAGGAGGAGGAGGAGGAGAGAGGAGGAGAGGAGGATACGATGAAGAGTCGGAAATGGGAAGAGGGCGGGAAGGAGGGAGGGAGTAGGAGAGAGTGGGAAGAAGAGGAGGGCGAGGAGGAGGAGGAGGAGGAGGAGGAGAAGGAGAAGGAGAAGGAAGAGGAGGAAGCTGACGCAACGGCCATCCAAGCAATGTTGGTCGCACGTAAAAAAGAGGCAGGGGAGGGAACAGGAGGAGGAGGATGAGGAGGAGGAGGAGGAGGAGGAGGAGGAGGCGGGGGTGGAGGAGGAGGAGGAGGAGGGGCTGAGGAGGGACGAGGTGGAGGAATGATGAGGAGGTGGAGTGAGAAGGAGGAGGAGGGAGAGGAGGAAGGAGGTGGAGGCGGAGGAGGAGTATAATGCAGAGGGCAGGCGCAGCAGGCATCACCCCGCGCTGGCCCAGAGCGGCGGCAGCAGAAGAACGGGAGGCGGAAGGGGGGAGGCAGGGGGAGCAGGAGGGGGAGGGCGAGGGGGGAGGGGGAGGGTCGAGGGAGCGCAGGAATGGACGAAAGCGAGCGGATCAGCGACGGGCCCCGCTTCCGTGCAGAATCGGCGCCCTCTGTCGCCAAGTCAGGCGGCATTTGCCTAATCTTTCGGGGAGCACATTCCCGCCCTCTTCCCATATCCTCCTCCTCCTCCTCCTCCTCCTCCTCCTCCTCCTCCTCCTCCTCCTCCTCCTCCTCCTCCTCCATCGTCGTCCACGCGATAGCGTAAGCACCTTGCCGTCGACTGCTTTCCAGGGGCGCACCATCGTAGCCAGACGGACTCGGCAGCTTCCGAAGCTGAGGACCTGCACACGCGACAGAGCCGCACACCTTCGGCCAGGACATGCCGAGTCGCGAAACGAGCACAGACGAGAGGGGCGGGGCGGGGGGGCGGGGGAGGAGGGGCAACTGCTGCGGGCGCCTGCAGGCCCCATGCAGGCTCGCGCTGCGGCGGGCCTCGCCCTTGGCGCGCTGCTCGGCCTCCTGCTCAGCCCTGATGACGCGGCAGCCTCGGCAAGACGATCCACTGCTTCGTCCCCTTGGACGAGCCAGGAGGCCACTCCCCCTAGAGCCTCATTCGCCTCCAGATGAGAGGCGGCTTGGGAGTGTGGCGTCTCAAGGCATGTGCTCCTCCTCCTCGACCTCCACCTCCTCCTCCTCCTCCTCCACATCCTGCTCCTCGCCCCGACCCGTGGATCCCCAATCCATGTCGGCGCGTGCCAGAAGGGAAGGGGCCCTCTGCGGAGGAGGCTGTTCCTCTGCGCCCCCTCTGCCTCGAGCGTTCCGCGCTCGCTTGCCCGCCCGCGCAGTCCCGCCCTCCAGAGTCTGCGCCAGTTCCTCTCGGGGGCGGCCAAGAGGGGGGTGATCACTAGGGGTGGTGGTGGATATCATGGCGTGGGCCATGATATTTCCTCAGGGTTCATGGCGCCTCTTTTTCTTTCGTTACGTCCCTGGGTCCCCCCCTGGGCCGCGCACCTGCCGCCAGCCATGATTTGCACCCCTTCCTCTTTGACGCCCCCCTCTTGGCCGCCCCCGATCCTCGGAGCGAGAGCTCTGGTGTGCAGAAGGCGGCTGCGGAGCAGTTCGGGCTGCACTCTGCCGGGGAGCCGGACGCGCACGACGTGGCAGGCCCGGGCGGGGAGCCGGGTGCGCACGTGGCCGCCTGACTTTCCAGCGCTCCGACCTCGTGTGGCCAGGCGCGGTGGTCCTCCACGCGTGTGTCCAGGAGGTGGCCTCCAGATGTTCCGCGCGTGAATCCAGCCATGTGTGCTTCTGGCTTCCTGGTGCTCCCAGCAGCTCGAGTTTGTCGATTATTCTGTTCTGCGCCGCCTCCAGGGCGTGCCCTGGAGCCAGCTGCGCCGTGCAAGTGGGCTGACCCATTAGAGCTCGGCACAGCGGGGCAAGCGGGGCAAGCGGCGTGGCTGGTTAGCGGTGTGGCTCGGATTGTGGCATTTGCGGCAGGACGTACCATATGTTCGACATGTAGTGGAGGATGGCGGTTGGCACAGTAACCAAGTCGCTCGCAGTTCATCCAGGGGAAAACCATAGTTAGATGCAGGCCCACGTCTCCGCCATAGTCAGTTCCGGGAACTCCTCGAGCAACACTTTCCCACGACCTATAGCCGCGGGCGCGTCGCATGCACGCAGCAGCATATGCTGCAGGAGAGCACGGGCCGTTGTTTGTTTTGCCGCACTCGGGTCCCAAATTTTGGGGGTCGCAGGGGAAGCGGTGCGTGGCGGAGCATGCTCACAGCACGAAGTTCTCGAACGTGCCGTGCCGAAGCGAGCCCCTCGGTTCCGAAGCGGGCCCTGGCGCCTCGCGAGGCGGCTCAGGCGGCGGCCGCTGGCCACACGAGGAGAGGCTGGGCCTGCACCGGTCCGCCGGCCCCCGGGGCAGGGCGTGTGCCGCTGCCGACTCCGTGTGTGCTGCTTGCCGCGGGCAGCTTCGTGTCCGTCGCCGCCTGGTTTTCGCCTGCCTTGCTCCTCGTCGTTCACGCCTCCCCCCGTTCCTCAAGCAGTGGCGAAGCGTCTTGGCTCGCCTGTAGCCCTACCAAACAATGTTCTAAGAACCTTTGGCGGTTTCCACGACATGTTCTTAGAGCATTTCTGGCGGAGTCTGTGTTGTTCGAACACATCGGGTTTACGTTCTGAGAACACTGCTTCTGTTACTCTAACATCTTGGGGTTCTAAGAACATTTCGTGGCAGGACTACAGGAGTGCCGGGACGGTCGGTCCCTGCTCAAGTTCCCGCCCTCTGCCCCTCCTCGTCGGGGTGTTCTCTGCGGCTTCCAGTCCAGTGGCTGCCTACGTGTAGCTGCTGCTTGCTGGTTCGCTCCCCTTCCTCCGCGTCTGTCGCGGGCTTCCTTGGGCGCCTCTGAGGGGCTCCGGGGGCGGCCGTACGGGAGCTTGTTCATTGCTTTTGATGGGGACAATCGATGGGCTTCTGCAGGGCCTCTTCGAGGCATGTTGGCGGACGTGTGTCGGGGAGGGTTTCCATGGCGCCCGCTAGTTCCGTTTCTTGGGCCTCTCTTAGCCCGTGATGAGGGTTGGTCTAAAAAGAGTCTTTGGGGCAGTCTTGGGGCCCTCTTGGGCCTTCTCTGGGCCCTCTTTGGGGCCTCCTCGGGCCAATCTGGGGAGCCTTTCGGGCAATCTTGGACCTCCAGAAGCCCGAAGAGGCGCGAATGCGTAAACCATTCAAGCACGGTCGGGCAATCATTGGTGAGCCCCCTTAGCTCTTGGCGCCCTACTGTGACGCCTTCGGGGCCTCTTGGACCGTCTATTGAGGCCATGTTGAATCCTCTGGAGGCTTCTCCAGCATGCCGGATCCCTTCTTGAGCCGTCTTGGGAGGCACCTTGGGCGTCTTGGAGGCCGCGGTCGGCGGACTCGGAGGCTCCGAGGGCCCGGGAGATGCGCTGGCGAGCTCGGGTGGGGGACCCCCCCGCCTGCAGCAAGTTGTTGGACCCTGTGGGAGGAGGGAGGGGGGGGGAAGGGAGAGGGGGACAGCCGAATGTCGCACTCGCCTTTTCGCCCCTGCTGAAAAAGAGGCGACTCACCGACGCCTACGACCGCCGTCGCCGTCGTCGTCGTCATCCGTCGTCGTCGTCGTCGTCGTCGTCGTCGTCGTCGTCGTCGTCGTCGTCGACGTCGACGTCGACGTCGACGTCGACGTCGACGTCGACGTCGCAACGCACAACCGCCTCTGCAGGCCCGCACCGCTTGCCCGCCGAGCCCCACCCGGGGGCAGCGCCGAGAGGGGCTTCCACTAGGGGGCCACCACCTCTTCCTGGGAAGCGAGGATCAAGGAGGAGGAGGAGGAGGAGGAGGAGGAGGAGGAGGAGGACCGAGGATGGAGAATGTTTAGGGGAAGGTTCTGGGGTCGTCTTCGGGGGCCCTGGAAGGCTGTGGTGGGCCCAGAGAGGTCCAGCTCCTGCAGGTGGTGGTGACCCCTTTCGTGGTGGCCCCCATTGTTCTTGCCTGGTCTGCACCACCTGGTGGGGCGGAGCGGGCCGCACCGCTTGCGCCAGGCCCTCCTCCCCACGACGCTCGGTGCCGCCACCGGCGGCGCACCAGCGCCTCGGGGTCGCGGCGGGGACGAGGAGGGGGATGCGGACGAGGACGAGGATGCGCAGGAGGATGACGAGGAGGAGGAGGAGGCGGCGGAGGAGGAGGAGGAAGAGGAGAAGGATGAGGCGGAGGAGGCGGAGGAGGCGGAGGAGGAGGAGGCAGAGGAGAAGGAGGAGGAGGAGGAGGAGGAGGAGGAGGAGGAGGAGGAGGAAGAGGAGGACTCTTTGGGGCTCTTTGGAAAGCACAGCGTGCTGAAGTCCGTGCATCGAGATAGGGAAACGCCGACAACGGCGAAAGAGGAGACAGGAGGAGGCAACTTCTCCGAGGGCCCAACGGCCCGCGAAGAGCGACGCTGTCGCGCCCAGCCTCGGTGCCACAGGAGGGGCGCGCCTGAGCTCATCGCGGTGCTTCCACACCGAGGCTGGGCACGGCCGTTCTGCCCCCTGCCCTGCTCCCTGGGGGCTGCCTCGGGGCTCCTCGGCGCCGCCGTCGAGGCGGGGCCCGCGCCGCGGCCCGCCCGCGAGGCGCAGGGCGGGCGCGGGGGCGGCGACGGAGGGCCCGAGCGGCCCCCCGATCGCGGCACGAGCCGCGCGGTGGCCCTGCGGCACGGCCCCGGGCGGCGCCGCGCCTCGAGCAGCCCCCCCGCCAGGGAGACCGCGGGCTGAGGGCCGCGGCGTGCATCGGCAAGCCCCCGCCCAGCGGCGCCACGCAGCGGCCGCCCATGCCGAAGGCGCAGGTCGTCGGCCGGGCCACCCTTCGCGAGCGAGCCGAGGACAGCCGCGTCAGGTTGGCGCAGCGGTCGCCAGCGCCACCCGAGGCTGCGCCAGCCGTGGTGTGCCATCAGACCAAGTGCCCCGAGGCTGCGCGGGTGAGCCAGAACGGCTTGAGCCACAATGGCTACGGAGGAGGAGGAGGAGGAGGAGGAGGAGGAGTGGGAGGGGTGGGAGGGGTGAGGTGGCGAGGAGCGGGAGGACTTCGACTGTGCGCTGGCTCAGCTTGCTGGGGGCTCGGCCCTGGGCGCGGCGCCGAGCGCCGTGCGGCGCGTGAGGTTGCCGAGTGGCGACGGCGCGCCCTCCAAATGCCAGAGGTAGGGGCCCGCGGCGAGACGCCCGGCACCCGGGGGTGGGTTGGCGGCTGCCGCCTCCCAGCACGAGGACTCCACCTCCGAGTCGCGGGGCTCACGCTGCGGGCCAGCTCCTCCTCGCCCTCCTCCTCCTCGCCCTCCTCCTCCTCCTCCTCCTCCTCCTCCTCCTCCCTCCTCCTCCTCCTCCTCGAGGCCGGGGGATTGTGGAGCCCCTCGTCATTTTCATACGGTTTTTTATCGACTGAAACGCTCTTTCACCCTTCAATGTTGATTATTTGTTGTCATTTTTCTTTTCGCCGTGATCCCCTCATACTAATATTTTCGCGTTATATCGTTATCTAGTGTTCTCTCTCTCTGTCTCTGTCTCTCTCTCTCTCTCTTTGTCTATCTCCTGCACCAGGCCAATGCATGCCGATGCGATACAAATTCATTCCCAACCAACACCAATGCCAATGCAATGCCAATGGGGGAATCCTTTCGTTCGGTGGATTTCAATAAGAATACTTTGTGGATGATGTCATTACGAATCCTTCTCCAGAGGATTTTAATAGCAATGCTTATGTGTGGGGGTTCGATCGGGATCTTCATGTGGAGGGTTTCAGTGGGAGGATTCAATCGGATTCGTTTTTGTGGAGGGTTTCAGTAGGAGTCCGTCTGCGGAGGGAGCCATCAGGACTCGCCAGCGCAATGCAAACGCAACGCCAAAGCTTTTCCATCGCAATGCCAAACCAACGCCAATGCAATGCCAATAGGGGGTATCCTTTGTGGTAGATTCCAAAAGCAATCCTACCTGTGGAGGGTTTCGATTGGAATCCTTCCGTGGGGGGGTGCTTCAGTATGAATGTTTTACGTGGGGGGCTTGCAAAAGGATCCCTTCTTGTGGAAGGTAAGGAATCCTTCTGTGGTGGGAGCCATTCGAACTCGCCAGCGCAATGCCGAAGCAGTGCCAACGCAATGCCAAACCAGTGCCAATGCAATGCCAGTGGGGGGAATTCCTTGTGGTAGATTTCAATAACAATCCTTCTAAGAACCCTTCTTTGGGGGATTTCAATAGGAAACATTCGATGGAGGGCTTTGCATGGAACCCTTCTGTTGAGGATTTCAATGTGAATCCTTCTTGTGGGGGGGATTCAATAGGCATCCTTTTTTTTGTGAGGGTGTTCAATAGGAATCCTTCTGTGAAGTGTTTGAATAGGACTCGCCAGCGCAATGTCAACGCAATGCCAACGCACTGCCAACGCAGTGCCATCGCAATGCCACCGCAATGCCAATGTGATGCCAAACCGTTGCCAAACCAACGCCAATGCAATGCCGATGGCGGGATTCCTGTATTCCAGCAGATTTCATTAGGAATCCATATGTGGATGATTTGGTTACGAATCATTCCTCGGAGGATTTCGGTAGGAATCCCCCCGTGAAGGGTTTCGATTGGAATCTTTCTGTGGGGGGCTTCACTTTGAATCTTTCATGCGGGGGTTTTCAAAAGAACCCCTTCTTGTGCAAGGTGTTCATACGAATCCTTCTGTGGGGGGAGCCATTAAAACTCGCCAGCGCAATGCCAACGCAATACCAGCGCAATGCCAAGCCAATGCCAAAGTGATCCAAATCCAATGCTAATGCAATGCCAATGGGGGAAATCGTTTGTGGTTGGGTTCAAGAGGGATTCTTCTGTGGAGGATTTCGAATGGAATCCTTCCCTGAGGGAGTTCAATGTGAACCCGTCTTGTGGGATGCTTCTGTCGGAATCCTTCTCGTTGGGGGTTCAACAGGAATCATTCTGCGAAGGGAGGCGTTGGAACTCGCCAGCGCAATGCCAGCGCAATGCCATCGCAGTGCCAACGCAGTGCCATACCAATGCCAAAGCGGTCCCAACCCAATGCCAATGCACTGCCAATGGGGGAAATCCTTTGTGGTAGATTTCAATAGGAATCCTTATGTGGAGGGTTTCGCATGGATTCCTTTTGTGGAGGGTGTCAATGTGAACCGTTTTTGTGGAGGGTTTCAATCGGAGTCCTTTTTGTAAAAGGTTTCGATCGGCATCCTTCCGTGGAGGGTTCCATCAGGGCCCGCCAGCGCAATGCTTGCGAGCTGCAAGCACACTCGCAACGCACTGCCAAGCGCAATGCCAGCGCATTGCCAACGCGATGCCAAGCCATTGCCAAACCAACGGCAATGCAATGCCAATTGGGGACATCGTTTGTGGTCGGGTTCAATAAGAATCCTTATATTGAGGGTTTGGAATGGGATCCTTCTGTGAGGGAGTTCAATGTGAACCCTTCTTGTGGGATGTTTCTATCGGAATGCTTCTGGTGGGGGGCTCAGCAGGAATCATTCTGCGAAGGGAGGTGTTGGAACTCGCCAGCGCAATGCCGACGCAGTTTCAACGCAATGCCGCACCAATGCCAAAGCGATCCCAACCCAATGCCAATGCTCTGCCAATAGGGGGAAATCCTGTGTGGCAGATTTCAATAGGAATCCTTAGGTGGAGGGTTTCGCATGGAATCCTTCTGTGGATGGTGTCAATATGAACCGTTTTTGTGGAGGGTTTCAACAGGAGTCCTTCGTGTAGAAGGTTTAGATCGGAGTCCTTCTGTGGAGGGTTCCATTCGGACTCGCCAGCGCAATGCTTGCGAGATGCAAGCACGCTCGCAACGCACTGCCGAACGCAATGCCAACGCGATGCCAACGCGATGCCAAGCCATTGCCGAACCGATGCCAATGCAATGCAAATTGGGGAAATCGTGTGTGGTCGGGTTCAAGAAGAATCTTTCTATGGAGGGTTTCGAAAGCAATCCTTCCGTGAGGGAGTTCAATGTGAACTTTTCTTGTGGCATGCTTCAACCGGAATGCTTCTTGTGGGGGTTCAACAGGAATCTTTATGCGAAGGAATGTGTTGGAGCTCGCCAGCGCAATGCCAACGCAGTTTCAACGCAATGCAGCACCAATGCCAAAGCGATCCCAACCCAATGCCAATGCACTGCCAATGGGGGGAATCCTTTGTGGTAGATTTCGATAGGAATCCTTATGCGGAGGGTTTCGCATGGAATCCTTCTGTGGGAGGTGTCATTATGAACAGTTTTTTTGCGGAGGGTTTCAATAGGAGTCCTTCTTGTAGAAGGTTTAGATCGGAGTCCTCCTGTGGAGGGTTCCATGAGGACTCGTCAGCGCAATGCTTGCGAGATGCAAGCACGCTCGCAACGCACTGCCGAGCGCAATGCCAACGCAATGCCAATGCGATGCCAAACCATTGCCAAACCAGTGTCAAAGCAATGCCAATGGGGGGGCTCTTTCTTTCGAAGCATATCAAACTCAATCCTTCTGCGGGCGATTTCAATAGGAACCCATATGTGGAGGATTCCAGTAGGAATCATTCAGTGGAGGGTTTGGATAGGAATCCTTCTGTCGAGGATTTCACTCTGAATCCTTCTTGTGGGGGCGTTCACTAGGAATCTTTCTATGGGGGGCAGATGAGGCCACGTCGAGTTTTTCGCCGCCGACCCCCCTCAAAAAAAATAGATGATACATGTTATGTTTATTTCTTGTTTTTTGGGGGGAGGGAGGCCAGAAAAAAAAGGAGGAGGAGGAGGAGGAGGAGGAGGAAAGGGGGAGGCGGACGAAGAGGAGGACGCCACAGAGTACGCACACCACTGAAGCTTTCGCGCGCGAGCCCTGGAACCCCGAGGGCTCCACAATCCCCCCGTTCTCTCCTCCTCCTCCTCCTTCCTCCTCCTCCTCCCCCTCCTCCTCCTCCTCCTCCTCCTCCTCCTCCTCCGCCTCCTCCTCTTTCTCCTCCTCTCTCCTCTCCTCCCTCCTCCTCCTCTCCTCCTCCTCCTCCGCTCCTCCTCCTCCTCCTCCTCCTCCTCCTCTTCCGCAGCTCACCCACTGGACCCTCGGGTTGTGTTTTTCCTTGAGGCATCCCCTCCTCCACACCCGCCTTCTCCCCATT